CATAAACTCCCTCTGTCTCTTTGTGGTATGGTCCGGAACATCGTTACACTCTCGGGAATATATCCTCGAGCCTGACATCTTCTTCCAGGTTTTTGATTGTTGCTCTCAATGTCATGATGCTGTTTGGCTGAGCCTTGTCCCGCCTTGCCTTGCGCGGCTGCCAGGTGTTGCTCCTCGGATCCCAAGCACACTCGTAGATCGGACGCTTCCCCTGCTGTATGTCCATGTCCACGATCATTTTGATGATGCTTCCCTCGGCGAGACACGTCTCCGCCACCGCAACTTCACGGCCCCTGTCCACGAGAGACAGTGTATAGTGGCTGCCATTATGATCGATCAGAAAGTCGACCGTGTTTGCTTCCAAAACCTTCCATTTAAACAGCGTGGGGCAGGTGCCGTAACGGATCGGCTCGTCCACTGGCGTGAAGACAAGACCATCCGAATGATACGGCAGTGCAGGGGCCACTGTCTGGGAGTACGCGTACCCCTCTTGAAACGGAACCAGCCCCTTCCGCTGCACAGGCACCTTCCGGTGGTTTGGGAGCACCAGCGTCCAGCCCTGCTGCGCCTTGTCGAAGAAATCTTGCGTCAGTGCCTCCAAGCGCCCCCGCAGGGTGAGAGACGCTACCTGCCCCCGGCTGGTTCTCAAGGCGTCGTAAACTACAAAGAGCCTGCTGGTAGGGTCCCTCTTCATGCTGACCAGCTCTCCATCCAGCAGGAGGTCACCTTCGAGCTTGCCCCCTGCCAGGCTGACACCTATAGTTGCCATGTTCCTCCCAACAAGTGCTGCAGAGCCGCCGACGACTGCTAGAAGGTACCGAACGCCGTCAGTCTTCTCGGCTACCATGTACGGGACCCTCTGCAGCCGCTGCAGATCCTTGCGCTCGACCGCCGATGGGAAGCTGAAGCAGTTGGAAGAGAAGCCCAGGGCCTCAAGGATGGACGCCATCGCTGAAAATGCTCAGATCGCTCGTCCGGTTGTCCCTAAGTGTCGCTGGCCCGTCTCAGAAGGCCCTTGTCTCGGGCCCTCAACTGGCCAAAGCCGACGGTTCTCAGTATGCCTTCCGCGGTCACAATGCTCAATCCTGAATGTCGCAAGAAGGTTGCAAGGCCGGCCTCTTCCTGCCGGTCTAAGAACCTTCTCAAGCAGTGCTCCAGGAACGCCAGCCGTTCCAAGCTGGCATCGCCGTGTCCTTCCAGCAGCAGCTGCGGCCTCAGGGAGGACTCTTGCTTCTGTTTCACGCTTATGAATGCTGCTTTATTTCGTGTAGACCCGCGGCCCAGACTGCGCGTGCCCGTGTCTTCGGACCGCTTACCAAGCCTCCTTGGCAAGGGCCTCTGGCTGATCACGGGCCTCGACAACGCCGAGGCGCAGCCTATGAGCCCCACGTAAGGCAGCAGGTCCCAATCCTGCCTCTGGAAAAGCCGTGCTTCGACCATGTCCGCAGCAGACAGAAGCTGTGCACCGTCAGGAGCTAGCTCCGGGGTGTCCAGGTAGTTTTCAAAGTAGGCAGATGTCGTTCCAAGGACGTCCTCGGAGGTCGCCTTAAAGAGCACGCCCGTGGAAACCGGCTTGTCAGGGTAGAGCAGGTGGCAGGCGCTCTCCAGCATAGACTCTGCCTTGTCCGTAGAGCCCTTCAGCCCGCTCTGCAGGACGTTCAGCATGGACCTGGCGTCTCCCTCCGCCGCACGGCAGGCCTCATCCACCTCTCTGTCCGATGCTACCAGGCCCTCCTGCGAGAGCACGTGCCTGGCCAGGAGCACTAGCTTGTCGTGGGGCAGCCTGCCAAAGCAGATCACCTCGCTGTCCCCTTCCAGATCGGCCATACGGCCCTTTGGCGTGTCGTTGGTTGTC